TTATCATGCACAACAATTGAAGCACTGCCCGTAGCTCTTCTGTGGAGATCAATAAGAATATATTTGCACGTCTGAGACTACGCATACGTCCCCCATCCATGACCATACTGCCTTTGAAGTAAAATTTTACAGCGAGCGGTGAAAAGGTTCTTATTTAGCGGTGTTTGAGAAAAAAACCGTAGAGAAAGCCCTGAAGTAGGCCGGTCTCTACTGCTCCATGGTTTGTTGGGACTTCAGGCGAGAGAAACGACGGACCAGACAAGAGTGGCGAGACAGCATGGAAACGAGAGCAAAGACAGACTTCAAAGCAGGCGAAGTTACTTGAGGACTTGAGCAGCCTTACGCCTTGACACCCTAAGCTAAGACTTTGTGACGCGGACCGCATAAAGTGTCCATTGCAGTCCTCACTATCTTTTTTCTGAAGATAGCCTCGATTTTTGCAAACATTTAGCGAAGTGCAGTGTGACTTTCAGTAGGATTTACTGTGGTGAGATGAAGATCACTGAGGCCAGCCGTTCTACAAATTAATGTTTTTCCTTCTTTTTGGATAGAGACGTTTATCATTCACTGAAACCCGTCGCAATGATAGGCTTGGCCTGCTGAGAGTCGATCCAGGAAGGATTTGACCCCCCCCCCCGCAGTCGTGCGCGAGCTTAGCGGCGCTATATTCCACCACGCCAACTTCGCCCACTCCGTTTTCGTGGGTCGTAAAAGAAAGAGAAAGCATTTATTAGTTGTATGCACCCGTAACATTTACATGTGAGATGAGATCGATTTGGACTCTACTTGAAATGGCAATAGATTAAATTGGAAGGAGCAGAGGTATGGAGAATGGAGAGGGGAAGAGGGTCCCTTTCAAGCAACACTCTCCCTCATTCCTTCGTAAACAGTCGTACGCTTCTTAGAAGTCCACGTGCTGTCCTTTCGCCATCCATTCTCGTCCCTCCATGATCCTGCAAAAAGGGTATTTATAGAGCCTCACAAACATGCTATTCATACATTTGCAAGAAAATCACTTTGCACTTTCATTTTTCTGAAGAAAAAGCCTAGCAGGTACAACGCTTACCGCTTCTGGAAACTACCCTGGCGAGGTTGTGGTCCGACGACGAATCGATGAGAGCATGACGAGCGGCTCGGGTCTTTGCTTTGCCGTTGGACCGCCAGCTGCCCCCGCACTGCGGCTCGTAGTCCGCATGTACCTAAATGCTCTCCAGCTCACGTATTCTGGACTTTGGCTTACAATTTAGAGAGAAGTTAGCCATTTTCCGGATTATCTCCCAGACTTTGGAAGGTTTGGAAGAATAAAGTATGGCTGCATTCATACTTTACGGCAGCGTCCAACAGCGTCCGAGTCCGGCAGCGTCAACGACTAGGAACTTATGGACATTGATCTAGCGTCTGTCAGCGTCTGCCAGCGTCCACCAGCGTTCACCGGGAGAGGAGAGTATGGCGCGATAGGAGGGTAGCAGACAGCTGGTAGAGTATGGGGAGATAGGAGGGTGGCAGACTGCTGGTAGAGAGTATGGCGCGATAGGAGGGTACCAGCTGTCTGCTACCCTCCTATCCGCCACACACACTCTCCTCTCCTGGACGCTGGACGTTGGGTGTGGTGGACGCCAGATCGATGTACGTGTTATTTCCTCGTCTCTCTCACGCTGCCGGACGCTCGGAACACTGATGGATCGGCGTTGGGTAAGCGTATAACTGGTCGCCATGGATGCTGCCCGCAGAAGTCATGACGCAGCGGCTGAAGAAGTTAGTTAGTGAAAAATAATTAAAAATGGCTGCCAGGCAATCCGAACTGCACAGTTACACTGCGAGTCGCGAGGATGAACACGCTGATCTCGGAACGGCCGGGTAAGAGGGCAGATGCTGTTCGGGTGTTCTCGGTGCGGTAAGGACGCGCGTGAGCGAGCGTGCTCGAGCTGCGTGCGGGTTGATGGGCGGATCTTCTCGAGGAAGTACGCGCAGAGCCGTGTAGCGAGCATAAACTCATGTAGCGGTCAACCATCGCACGACACCACAAGCAAATGCAAACGACAGATTTCACATATCCCATCCATAAATCTTTGTTTTTTATCTGCGAATGCCGAAGAACCCGAGGGGTGCCATCAATGCACCACTCAACGGCACCGCGAGCGGTTTTTGCGTTCTAGGAGGCTTGCATAGAGAGCTCACGCATTCTATGTTGCTCCAAAGCTCTGTACTCAAGGAACTCCACGAACTCATTGTGGGCTCCACAACCCATTTATCCCATGATAACCTGCTTATTATTCCTATTAAAATTCCTCGTTTTTATGCGCAATTAATGCTCCGTGAAGAGGAGCACATTATGTGGGAAGGAGAAGCATGGGTTTTCCGCATGAAAGGTTTTTTAGTCTCAAAACGATCTACGACAAGTCCCGCCTTGTTCTCCGAAAAGAAAAATGTTCGGATGAAGCGACAAGAATCTAACTCCAATATTACCGGCAAGGTACCGTACCTAGAATGGCGTCTAGTGAGATGACTCAGCCATCACATCGAATTCCACGCCAACATGTCTATAACTGCGAATGCAAATGTGAGGTACAGTTAGCCGGGAGACAGTAAAGACAACCGTAATTTGCCCCTCCGTCGCGCGCGCAACAGGCGCAGCCTTTACACAGTTTGGGTTAGCCTGTCGAGTGGAGCAGCGGATTTTGGTCATACAATGTGTGTTGTCGCCAGCCACCAGTCACCATTTCCACCCGGCCTTCCAACCACTTAAAGCAGCCAGTTCAGATTTCCCATCAGCTGTATCGGGTCACGACGACATCATTGGTGGAGAAAGGGCGCCCTACCTACGCTGCAATCCGCGCCGCGTCGACGCCCTACTTTTTGCAGGTATCATGACAATACATAGTCAATAACATCGCACTCAGTCTGGAAGGTGTCAGGAGAGGCAGAATGGGTCCGCCTTGTTAGTGATCGATTTAGAAAGAAAAGAACTAGTGGTGGAACCGCTGCGGGTGGGCTCATTTCATCTCTTTTGAAACCGCACCGACAGATTGTAACAATATCAATTGTAAACGGGCTGTTTCCACCTCGGGAGGATGAGCAAGGCTTCGGGTTTTATCACTCGAGTACGCATTCAGCACCTACGTGTGAAATACATTCGGTACAAGAGGCGACTATCAAATGTGACTGCTAGATTTTCTAGGGCCTACTTTTTTAGAAATTGATTCAATGAGTCTCCTTTTTTATTAGTCATTGCTCAGTGGCTACCGCCCACAGACTCCCATAATAAAGGCAACTGGCACAATAAATCCGCAAGGCGTGCAAGTTTAATACGCCTAGCAGCACAGAATTCGGCCCGCTGAGCAGGCGCTGCGTGGACGCGTTTTCCAAGGAAGGTACGCTTATAGCGCTCTACCAACTGCAACATACCAACCCGGACGCCATCGAACGCCCCGCCCACAAATTTCCTACCAATCCTGATGCTTGTACCGCTCCATTGGCGAAGTATTAGGTTGGCGGGGAAGTTCTGTCACACTTTTTCGAACTCAAAATATTTGCCCATTACCTGAAGAGGGGTGAACGGTAATGTGAGCGCTTATACATCAAAGAGTGGTCTTTCTATCAGTACCACTCGCTTGATTCCTGCTTCTTCTTCTTCTGCAATATGGACAAGAATGTTATCCGCTACATCGCGCCACGCACGACAACTCCAAATGCTTCTGATAGTGCAGCGCACTTCCAAAAAAGTTCTAGCCGTCTCATGCAATAGAGCTGGATGGCTTTCCCCTTGCAATGGCGTAGCACAGGCATTGCCTGCCAACCTAATACGATATGAAGCAAAGGAATGTTATGAAGCGGCTGCGGTGCTGCATGGATACATGCACCCGTGTACTGTAACGGTTATTGGGATGCCAACGGGAAACTGTCCGAAATTGCTTTCTGACTCGTGTGACACGAAGGTATTTTCGCAGGTTTTTAACTACGATCCAGTTCGCAATTATTTGCCCATTTTGCCAATTATAGGCCTCTGATACCCATTTAGAACCAGTACCCAATTACCGTAGCTCTAGCTTTCAATAAGAGAAGGTTTAGCCATACAGGGACATTGCTTCCTGCCATTCATGTTTTAGGCAACTGTAAGGTGAACATATCAGAAAACACTCTCAACATACCGAGGGCGGCTTAATTGGTGTTTTATTACAGTCTACACATATATTTCAGCTGTCAGTATTATGCGTGCGTCCATAACAGAAATCTTCCGACAAATCTGGGATACCCTAGAACCACGTATCCCGCCCGATACCTCCGAAGCGAGACTCCTCATCACTGAAAGACAGATAACTACTCCCTACCTGCTTGTACGGTTCTGCTTTCCCCCTAGCCAACCTTCTATTTGTCTTCATCTCTACCGTGCCAATTCCAAGCTTGAAGACGAAAGAAACAGTCGAAGAGAGAGCACAGAGGCAGCGATAGCTTCTCAGTACCTAAAAATAATTCGGATCCCTCAGAGCGGGTAGCCGTGGCTGGATGAGCTTCACGTACCCTCTGAAGCTTGAAGCCCTTTTCGAGAAGAATTTAACGACACCTCCAAAGAGGATTAACACGAGAATCATGGGCAGTAAGGAATCCATTCGCCAGATTGAAGTTGTTTCTGGCCTGTGTAGATGTGGCTGAAAAGGAAAGTCGTAAGCTGGTGACCGTTGACTCTCGAAAAGTCTAGAAGGCTCTTCGGAAATATTCTGATCATGAAGATTTCCAGTTAACTTGCCGTTTGTGGAGAATGCCGAGCAGCCGCCAGACTCGCTGACGTCCATGACCATCAAATTGAACTCTCATCGGTACTTGTAACATGGCCAAGGGAGCCACGTCGGCGTCGGTGCAATGAGCAGGTGGACGAAGTTCGAGTTGAATAAATGGGTCGGACAAATCGTCCAAAGCTGAAATATGGCGTTTACGTAGTATGCTCCAAATGGGGAGAAGGCTGAAAGGAGGTTCTCAGGAAGCAGAGACAAAGAGGGATTTTGGCTTGATGGTGGGCTCTCAAAAGAGGGATATCTCGCTCCATCGGTATCGTTTAGACCGAATATCCCTGGCAGAAAATCATTCAATTTAGATGTTCTTCTCACTTCTGTGGCGGCAGTCATCTCGTAAAAAGAGCGTTGTCTTTAAAAACACTATTGAGCGAAAAAAGAGTTTGGCTACATCTTGAGCCAATCGCTGTGAACTGAAGGCCAAGCTTCGACTCTGACCTTGAAGATTTTTTCTATAAAATGGTCCGCTTGAACAATGATTGGGATTGAGGCATAGAATTTTTGAGGACAAAGTCGTAGTTTTCATCCTTCAGAAAGTATGGATGTTCTGCTAAATGGAATAGAGATTTTTGCGCGGTTGTCGGCTTGATAGGGGAAATATGGACACTGTCGCTTGTCCTTGTGTTTGTTCGTGTAAAATAGCAAACTCTTTGAGGAGTATTGTAAACTCCTGTGAAGCTGCAAAATGATATGAGTGAGCCACTTTGATAAAAGGAATTTACAGATCTTGACAAGAGGCCTCTACAAGCATAGCTGAGTACCGTTCAGTGCTCCCCCCCCCTCATGGAGCCGCATAAAGATTCTATTCCAATTTTCAGGAATTCCTGATCTGCGAGATGCGTCATTATACTAGAAAGAGCTGCTTCACGCCTTGTGCACCCCTTCAGCCCATGAATGGATGGCAAAAGGCTTGAAAACAAGGATGTTAAACTTGTTTCACTCAACATACCTATCATATCGATTCCGTTTTGAACTTTATGGGCTAAGGCTATGACGCGCTCATCGGAGCTCTGCGACGTGAGAGTGAAATCGGTGACCGTGTGTCGTCCAGAAATTCCATACTGTCGTCGGAGTAATATAGTTGATAGAAAAAGCTGCCATGCTGGAATCAAATTTATTGAGCCTTTGTGACTGTAATGTTGAGGCATCGAGAAGGAGAGGGAGTAGGAATTACAGTCTTGCTGCGGATGACGGGACATGTCGAAGGCAGGGCACGCCATCGCGTTGTGATCATTTTCTGAAAATTACGACCCCCCTAATTCCATACTAAATAGCGACGCTCCTTTGAGTTGGTAACGAATCACCCCTCCCCAGGCCCTCTCTGTCCTTCCTCATCGAACCGAGCCGTCGAGCGGGGGGAGGGGAGGTCGTCAGAATTAAACTATCATTTTCAGTGTCGGAAATAGTAGTGCGTCCCTGGACTAACAAATACGCCCGCCCCCACCTTTAACAAGTTCGCGTGAAACAAGAGAAATCAACTATCAAAAAAATTTTTCTCTGACCAAATACGACCCCCCTCCCTCGCGGTCAAATACGACCCCCCTTGTGATGATCACAACGATGGCGTACCCTGTTCGAAGGTGGAATGGGTTTGGCGGACACGCCAGGCCCGTTTTTTGTTTCTTTGCGTCCGCGGCAAGGCTATAGTATTCCTATTAGTAATTTAGTGTTGTTACTTCTCCTTACTCGCCAGTTACTCTCGCTTACTCGCTTCAACAACCGATGGAGGACGGGCTGACGGTTCGCCAAGCCCAGCCTCACTGGCAGACCCCTTCATCTGCAGCAAACAAGACAGTGTTATACTTTAGCGATGTGAACTGGTAACCTCGTCAGGTAAAGCCTAAAGCCAAGTCAGCGGGTCGGTCCAGTTCGAGAATTCGTCATACTGACATGGAATACTGTAATAGACGTGTCCACCTCACTCTTACATACATTTCTGATTACACAATAGCGCGGTATTTGGTTTGACTTCGAGTTAAGTGAACAGTTATTACTTGTAGATTCGCTTTCAGACATGATTACTGCAAACGATAGGGCATGTGAAAGAGCGTGGATTGAAGCGCAATTAGAACAGTCTTCATCGGCCATTACTGCGAACTCAGGGTACCATCACTGGTTAGAAAGGCCACTCTGGCAGCACTCCAACCTACTCCCGTCACACGCCCATCTTTTTTTTCTTGTTTTTTCTTGTTCCAGGGACGCTATAGAGGGAGGGGGTCGCATTTGAGTTTTGAGACAGTTGTTGACTTTTCGTGGTTTTTTTCTGTTTCTCACGGATTATATGTACTGCTTACCCCTTAGATGGAGTAGGCGTGGCATTGGAAGATGTCATAGAATAGGTTTCTCGTGGGATATTTCAACTTTAGACAACTGTCATCTTGTTGTGCGTTGGGCAAAGACATGGCCAAAAATGAAAATATCTCACCAAGAGTCCAGTCACTGATACGTTCAGTTGAAGTACGCAGCCACGCCTACCCCATCTCAGGGATTTCGTGTGTACCTTCTGCTCATAGCAAAATTTTTGGGATTAACTAGGAAATTTTCCGGAAAAATTCTGGAAAAACTGGTAGGAAGTTGGGAAAATTTCAGAAAGTGGTAGGTAGGATGGGGAGATGAGGTCGCATTTTCCTCGCGGTTTTTCCCGCTTCTCATGTGCTATAAACCCCCTCCCCCAACCCAATGATGTACCCTGAATGTGACACCTCTGCTTATTAGGCGATCCCCATTAAAAATTTTTGATCATTTCCAAAGTCAGTTCTATCACTTATTCGCTCACTGGCGCCAAGCTGTTCTCCCAGTTGTGGAAGCTGGCCACCAGAGTTGGCGGACAATGCGTCGCGCCAAGCTCAAACCCCAGTCACGCCCCAGCATCCGCAGCGAACAAGACTATGTGCGCTCATCAACTGTAAGCCAATATTTTTCCTACCTGGTAACGATGCTGGAAAGTCGTCTCGAGCATGGTGACGACATCGTACTGCGCTCGTTTACCAGCCGTCGGTTCTATATTGATGTTCATTTCAACGATAGGCAATGCCGTCATTCTTGTCAAAGCCACTGTTTCAGCCGATACCACAACCGTTGTACTGCCGAAATCAATATTTGGTGTCTGTGCTTTGATGACGATTCTGAACAGACAGCTCATTAGCAGCTCAAAAGAAACCTTTAACAGATGGCCCACCTCGTTTCACCTGGCTGGACAGCTTGAACTATCACTCTGCTCTTATAGTTCCGGACTGTCGCTATCGATCGGTCTGCGCTTACAATGCTGGAATCGAGATCTGTCAATTTCGTACTCTTTGCCACCACGTTGTTATATCTCTCATCTATAAAAACACCCAACTGCTCCGAGCTCACAAAAGGACAGGGGGCAGGGGTGTATGAATATCCACACAATCGAAGCACACGGAACACATTACACAGTGAGTGTGGGCGCTGTTTGGCTTGGAGGGGACATTTTACAAATTCGTACTCTCGCTAGTCCACTAGTTTTGTTAGTTCATGTTGATTAATCAACATCCCAAAAGTGAGACGTGCAACGCGTGTAAAGCTAGGAAGTGGAACTGATGAGCCTCGTTGATCAGGGGTTTACAGGTTCCCACAACACCTTGGACGAGCTTAGCTGACAACCATAACAGTTATGTGAGGCCTGAGGTAAGCAAAGCGCAATTAAGTACAAATGCCTAAGGAGAAGCGTCTCCATACATCCGGGGACAATTTTTACGTGGGGGCGAACATGAGGTCAGTCGCAACTCCCGAGGGATGGGGATTATGAAGAAAGGCGTATTGGGGAGGCGAGCGGGAATTGGGGAGAGTGAAGGGAAAAACCATTCACGTGCAAGAAATTGCACGTGATGATCTGTAGGTGTAGAATGGTAGTTAGCATGCCTTTTGTAAGAAGAACGTTTGGCTCTGTTCGACTTGGAAGGGGCAGGCGCAGTTCGGCGACGGGGGGGGCATTTTGCACTTTCACTGCTTCACTAGTTCCGGTTTACAAGTCTCACTCTGGTGAAACCTGTGAACTCTTGTGAAGCTGGAGCAAGCTCGTCGAGCTACCATGGTGAACCTGTCAGCTCAAGAATGGGCTCTCTAGATGGGTCCACGGTCGATGGGAAGTAGTGAAAGTACAAAATGCCCCCACCGCTGCCGAACTGTCCTCGAAAGGCATTTTGCACTTTCGCTGATTCCTTCTGCTAGTTCATGTTAACTAACAGGTAAACTCTTGTGAACCTGTGAAATGGTTTGAATGAGCCACTTTGCTTACAGGAATTTACAGGACTTCGCACCATCCTATCACGGGGTAACCTGTCCAAGCTTCGCAACATTCGAAAGCCGCACCAAGTTTAACTGCGCCAAACTTTTCCCGGAAATAAATCAGTAAAAAGAGGGAAATTTCTCGAAAGGAGCTCTTTGCACCATCCTGTAATCTCAGCTGACGAAGGACTCCCAAACTAATAAGCGTGAAAGCATTCCAAAGTATTTTTTTATTTTTTCTTTCAACCGCTTAGCGATTGTACTTAGGAACTGCGCGATTTTCTCGATTTCAAAACGAGAAAACTTTATTTTACCTGTCGGCTGCAAGCGAAGTGATGTCAAATAGGATGTCACGATGTCCGCTCAGATACATTCGTTCGCCAGTACGTTCGTCGCTCACTTGGAATGAGGCAAACACCCGAAGCTGAACAAATTCAACGAAATTTACTTGACCTTAATCGATAGCAAGATAACGACCGGCGGGGACTCGACTCACCCCGGTTCAGGGCAAATCATCGTTGGGGATTGCCCGAACGGGGAGAGGAGGGATCGTATCCGCTCGTTGTTGGGAAAGGGGTCGCACGCAGGGCACATCGTTGTTGGGGAATCCACACAAAAGGGGGGTATTGTGTGGCCATGGAGGGGTCGTGTTGGGACTGAGAAAATTGTTTTAATGGTTGATTTTTCGTCGCTCATGGACGTTGTGAAGGGAGGGGGGGGGTTCGAACTTTGATCAATTTTTGGTAAAAAGTAGGGAAGTTTTCGGGAAATTTTGGAAAAAAGGGGCAGGAAGTTGGGGAAAATCTGATTGTAGAGGGGGGGGTCGTATTGTCTCGCGGCTTTTCCTGTTTCACATGTGCTATTTACCCCCCCTCCCCTCCCGTATAGAGTCAAGTAAAATCCCTAAACAATGATGTGCCCTGGTCGCACGGACGCTATAACGGGGAGTCGTGTTTGATGGTTTTTGGAAGAGGGGGTCGTATTTGCACATAGTTGGGAGAGGGGGGTCGTATTCGTTCCAAGACTTTTTTCGATAGCTAATTTTTCTTGTTTCACGGGCGCTACAAGGGGAGTGGTATTTGGTCGTTTTTGGGAGAGGGGGATCGTATTCGTATCGTATTCGCTCGTTGTTGGGAGGCGGAGGTCATATTCGCTCATTTGCTCATTGTTAGGAGAGGGGGTGGTACCTGGTCCGAGAAAAAAATTTAAGTTGATTTTTCTTGTTTTATGGACGCTAGGGGGCGGACCTATTCGTTCGTTGTTGGGAGAGGGGAGGGGTCGTGTTTGCACACTGTCGGGAGAGGGGGAGTCGTATTCTGTCTGAGATTTTTTTGCGCTACAAGGGGAGTCGTATTTAGCCGTTTTTGGGAGAGGGGGTCGTATTCGCTTGCTGTTGGGAGAGGGGGAACGTATTTGCTCATTGTTGGGAGGGAGGTCGTACATGGCCAAGAAAATTTTCTGAATTTGATTTTTCTAGTTTCACGGACGCTATAAGGGGGTGGTCCCATTTGCTCGCCGTTGGGAGAGAGGGGATCGTTTTTTTATTTGTCCCTCCCCCTCATTACATCGATAGCTCGATCGTATCGGAGGAGCGAACTAGGGGGGAGGGGGTCGTATCAAGCCACCTCTAGGAGGGAGGGGGGTCGCACGTGGTCGACCTAAGTTCCCAACAATGATGTGCCCTGCCTCGGATTTCGGAGATCTGACTCACCTCGGTTTGTTGGAAAACGATTTCCGCAAGCAAATTGTTTAGCAGCTCCTTTGTGGTGACGATCGCCCTGTAGAATCTTCCAGACAGTTATCGGCCATCCAGAAATCGAAGTTCAACACCGGATCGCGTAGCCACAGCTGAAGAACGTAAATGATTCGAACGCGCATTGCCTTGTCGCTAGTTGGGCCTAGTGGATAGCGTGCCCGATTCATCGCGCGCGCGTCGGAAGTTCGAATCCTCCGTCAGGAAGAGGTGGCAATGATGATTCATACAGACCTGTACCTAGTGTATGTGAGGAAATTACCGTCACAGAGCCCACCATTTGCCTCCCCATATGCACACCAAATTTTGATTCACTTACCGTTATCGGAAGCCGGGGGTACCAAACGGTAAAAGCGAAAGTTATATCACACGACAGACGCCTATCCTTTGCCCTTTAAATTCCATGAGACTTTTTGCCGTTCACGTACCGTTATCGGAAGCCGGGGGTACCAAACGGTGAAAGCGATGAATGCTGTCCATTTCTCGTAGTGCACGTGCACTTTCATGTTTTGCATACCTCTTAGTTCGGATCCATCAACGTAAACCTGAAAAAGTCGGGCTGAGACGCACTGAGTGATGCTCACTTGACTTGACAACTCACTGATGTACAAGTGGGACTCGTTTTGAGTACTCGTGGCTCGGCTGAGATGCAATGTGAACGGGCTGTGACATCGCGGATAATTCCACCCAGAGAAGCTGTGAATATCCTCATCGAGGTGGCACTCTGCTGACCGGAGAGTACTCCAGTGTTGATGAGATCGGTATTCTGTAAAGGAAAAACGACTGTTTTGGGCAAATTATGGATAAATTTTGTTGAAAAAGACTAGAAAATGGGAAGCATTTGTATGATTGAGCTCTTGTCGCTAAAACATAAGGCATTCGTCCAAGAAGGTGGAAAACTGCCCATTTGCCAGAAATCCAGTCGTTTTGTTCAATCGGTGCCTCTATCAACTGTTGAGGAGGAGCGTACCATAGAGTTGGGGATTTTAGTCGAAGTCAGTACAACCTACCCCCACTTTTATGGGGACTGGTACGACTTCCCCCCCCCCTTCTCCATCTTACCGACCACTTCCTCAGATTTTCGCAACTTCCTGCCAGTTTTTTTCCGGGATTTCTCCCTATTTTCTCCCAAAAATCTTGCTTCCACCGAGAGGGAGGGACGGAAGTCAACAATCTGTCAGTCTCTCCCAGAACTCCCAGAAGGCAAATACGGCCCTCCTCGCCCAACAACGAGCGAGCGAATACGACACCCCTTCCTTTAGCGTCCGCGAAACAAGAATCAACTATCAAAAAAACTTTCTTAGGAGAATACAAACCCTTCTACCCCCCCCCCCCTCATGGACGTTACGATCTCCTTGCCTGTTGGAATCCCCAGCGATGATGTAGCCCTGTGTACATATGGACTAAGGGACCGACCTTTCTGAACATGGGTGACCTTGAACTGCATGAAGGGTCCAATGCTCACCAGTTCACCTTTCACAACTCTTTTTTTTTGCTTACTGCCGGTATCAGGATCACATTGCATTTTTGAATATGACTCGCCCGGTGCAGAGATTTGAGTGGGCAGTGGTACCAGCTGAGTAATTATGAGGGTGCAAGGCCTCGCTGCCTAAAGAGAAGGTCGATCTAGAGATTCGATCTCGGTGACCGTCCGCGTTGCGTAAACGGCCCGGCGGTCACATTGCCATTTGTTGCCGACTCTGCCAGCACAAAAGTGGAACGTATATATATAGAGTCATAATCCCTGCAAGCGATAAGGCGTGAAACGGGCGTGTGTTGGATCGCAGCCAGAACAGCCATTCACGCCATTTGTTGTGGAATCAGGACGGCATCAGTGATGGAATGGTTGCTTTAGCAGCACTCCAATCTAGTCCCGTCACAACGCCTATCGTGGCTTGCGTTGGGACATAACCTGTATTACGTTTATTAAATCGTAGTCAGTCGGGTCAGTGTTGAGAGGTACGCCCTTGGAAAGAGCCCACCTGCGGTGCTTTCTATGTTTGGTTGTTTTCTTCATAGGTAGAAAACGCAGCCGGGGTGGGCTTACTCCAGGTCTCCTGACACCGCCCAGATTGATTGCAATGATGTCAACTATTGATGATCAGACGTCTTACACGCAGAATGAGAGAGCACTTCTTGAACCCAAGTGGCGTTTTCGAGTGACCAAAGAGTAACGTATCAAGATGCATGGCATACTACAAATGAATTTCCCCATTCCGAAATCATCATTCATCTTACTAGCTTCCTCTGTGGATGCTACCATACCGAGATTCCGATGAGATCATTCTCAGAAAGCGCAATTTCAGGACGGTGTTCATTTCCACTAATATTTGTTTTGTGTTTTGTTTTGTGCCGGCAGTACAAATGTTTTTGATAAAGTGCGAAAAATACCAGAGTATTTATGGCAGCTACCTTGAGTCGCTTTTTACAAGCTATAGTTTACCGAGCGAGTTCGATGAGGAAACAACTGAACGTGAACCGATAGTAATTGGCTTACTGGCCATGCACCTTCAACGCAAAAAGTGTTAGCCTTCTAAAGCTGCTCACCTGCCTACCTCGCCCACAGATAATATCGCCCTCAGTAGTAAGCGTATAGCGTGTCTTCAGAGGCAAACTCTACATCGACTTTTAAAGACGGTCTTCTGAGAACTACGAGTTGGCAACTGCACAAGTGTAACACCTTCGTCATTCGATAGATTAAGGCTGATGGGTAGTGATATCCGGGTACCATTTGAGCGTACCCGCCCTATCCTTCAAAAGTGCAGCACCTTTGTCGAGATACAAACTTCCACAGCGAAGACACGGAGTACGAGAAACAACTAGACGTGCGAAGAGCGCAGACCACTAGAGCCGCTTCGCATATGCCGTCAGGCGTTGGGCGGTCGTGCGGAGGAGAGGGCAGAGACGGCACCGGGTATCAGCACCCTCTAGTCCTGTGTCCACGGCTACAATCCGTTCACCTTGCACTTGGTAGGGACCAAGATCCCGGAGGTGAGTGCACAGTTCGTCTTCAAAGTCGAGAACAAAAGACAGTTGAGGCTTGTTCAGCTTCTGAAATGCTTATCACTGCACTTGTTTGAAGCTCCTTGACTAGTAGCCACCATAAACCAAGGCAAATCTTGCGATTAATTAAGATAGCGTAAAAGGCAGTGAAAAAGAGGCTAGCAGTGGAATATAAATGATATCACAGGATTTGGCCGATTCCTATAGGGCAGTGGCCTTTCAATTACCCAGCCATTTTGCCTTGCATTTTTTGCATATCACCTGGGATGACTAATAAGTCCGTGTTTCACGGTTCGTGACAGCTTTCTTTGAGCCAGTTGGCTTTCGTCATTACTGGAGCACACCCTCCTTCATTTCTGAGAGCTGTGATCCACTTTACCTTAACTGTTTGTATCGTCCAAGAACTTGTAAGGGGAAATAAGCATCACATGTAGTCTGAATGAATCTGTTTGACGTTGTAAACGTCCCGGTCTCTCACTTCACTAATTTCTATTTTTCTACTTTTTTACCCGTCTCATAACTGGTTTGGAGAACTTTCTGCAATTTCTACAGCTTTACATCCAGAAACTGGAACAGAGCAGTCTCACCTTTGCAACAGGAACCAGAGCATAAAGCGAGTCAGGCACAACCCGGAACTTCGTGGCGACTTTGTGTATTTGTTCCTAAACATTAGAGCTGTCAATGCTGTCAACAAGCTATTAGAACTATCAGTACTATCAACAACTGTCAATATTACGGCTCATTTTCGAGGTGCTAGCGTAGTGTGCCAAGGGTGGGACAATCAACGCAAGACGTTCCAGTGGAATAGTTTTCACCTAGTGAACATCTGCAGATTCAGCCGTAGAGGGCGCGGTTAAGTAAAGACGGATATGAGGTGCTCCATACTTTTTGCTCTCCCCCAGCATACAGCACCGTTGGGAAATTCCCATCAGGGGACCCGTATTTGGTCGTTGGGAAGAGGGTTCGAATTTGGTCCACGCGGGTCGTATCTGGGCTCGACAGGGATTTTTCCGAGCAGTGAAAGAAATCCTCTCAGGTCGTTGACTTCCTACGGTTTTTCTCGTTTCATGTGTACTATTTGCCCCGCTCCATTAGTACTACTTTCCATATTTGAAATAGTTTGTTGTTGTTCAGGAAACTGTTAGTCCACCCACCCTCGGTTGGCTTCTTCGTGGAAAAACTGGAAATTTTCTCAGAAGACTGAGGAAGGGTGGGGGGGGGAGGGAAAAGTTGGGAGCACTTGGAAGGATGGTGGGTAGAATGGGAAAAGGGGTCGTGGCTTAGGAACGAACTCCAGGTGGTTTGGGCGGGGGGGGGGGACACGAGTCGTAGCTGACAACCACAACAACGTCGTCGTTGGAAACTTGGGGGGGGGTCGTATTTGGTCGGTGGGGGAATTGGTATAATTGGTCCGAGAAATTTTCTTGGTAGGTGATTTTTTTCTTGTTCCATGGAACGCTATAGAGGGAGTCGTATTTGCCCTGTTGTTGGTTGGGAGAGAAAGGGGTCGTATTTGTCTACTGGAGAATTTAAGGGCAGGTGACTCCTTTTTCAGCGGTTTCTCCTCTTTCACAAGCGCTATTTGCCCCCGCTCCCCTCATCCTCCTCCCTTCATGCCCCCGCCTCTCCCTCCTCCTGCTCGACAGCAAAATCTTGGAGAAAAACCAGACACTTCCTGGGAAATTCCGCCCTCTGAAAAAGTGGAAAAATTGGCTGGAAGTAGGATGGGGAAAGGGGGGGGTAGTTACATCAGAGGGAGGAAATTATGGAGGTTTACTCTCGCCAGAAATTTCCCCCGGCTGCGGCCGGCATTCTCTCCCATCCTGACGCTGTACCTTTCCCATCAGCTACACCAGAACCCTTTTGTTCATAAGGTCACATATTAAAATCGATGAGAACAAGACTTTTTTCAGTTCTGAAATATTTAGTTAAAAAATGAGAAGCAATCATTTTGTACCTGTGTAGCATTCCCACTGCTTCGTCGTATTTCCCAATGCAGCACAGCCTGAAATTATTGGCTTTCGGATTTGGTTCTGAAGGACTCTATTGGGCTGAAAAACGCTGCAAAAGGGCACCTCATCTCCTTCTTCATTCCTCAACAGCCTCTTATTCGCTGTGATTGTACCACGCATTCGCAGCAGCAGAGCGAATACGTATCCATCCCAGCTGAAGAAAACTTCACTGAGCGAATTTGCTGTCAAGCCAGAGAAGGGTGCTGAAGCGGAAGGCACAGACAAAAACTCTTCCCCATAGAAAGGCTTTAGTGCATGTCCTCATATAGGACTATCCAGTCAGGTACAGCATCGTGATTTGTGAAATGCCATTGGAAAAAATTTTTTTAGATTTCCCCCAGCTTCTACAACTTTTTTGGAATTTCCCAAGAATTTTTCTAACTAGGGAAGGTCGTCAGGTCGAAGTGGCCATTTGTAATGAGATGTAGCTCACTTAGACGTGGTTTTTTTGGACGCTGATCTCGAATCTGCCTTTGAAATTTGCACAGAACGATTTTCTGGACGGAGTTATGGAGCTTTTCTCACAGCGTTTACCACGCAACGGGTCGTGG